TTTCATTATGGTTTTGTTATTGACTTGTAAGCCACTTGTTTCTGGCATCACTAAAGGAAACAGTCACGTGGCATCACATCTGGTCTATGTAGGCAGGGAGGGAGGTGTTCTCTTGGTCCATGGCCTCTCATCAACCTCACAGTGATTGTCTCATCCAAAATACAAAGGAAGAACAGAGTTAAAAATAATTGCTATGATTCCAGACTTTTGAATCCTCCTGTACAATGTGTCTCAGGCTTGTACCTCTAGACTAAATGATCATCAGAATGTATCCATAAGCTTAACCAGTCTATGTGTCCCATGATGTCAGACAGAAAGATTTGATGATACATTGCTGTGTGTTTTATCCAGAATGGTCAGGGTCACGGGTGTTTCAAAATTATCGATTATTTTAATGTTTTATTAAAGAATATTGTACTATTCATCCCAGAGTAATGGTTAGGGTAGTTGGAGCTAGGTATGTTGAATTACCAGACATGTGTGTGTGTGTGTATATACTCTATAAGGAACATCATACAGCTGGACTGGTAATTCATCATAATCACCTATTTCTGGCCATTTTCCACACATGGATGGGTTAGCTGTGATAACCTGATGGCAGCTCTTCAACCCGCACAGACTCGTCTAGCCTCTCTTGTCAGGTTCTTATTTCTTAGGTAATTTCTCCCAACGTCGCCCCCACGTCATTTTTGGCCTCTTCTCATGCATGTGGTTCTCTTCATCAAACTTCACCAGTGCTTTCAGTTCCTAGCTGACCTCTTGGCTCTGAAGAGGGATTCCTGTCATTATACATCTGTCTGACCATCCTCATTTCGGCTCGCTTAAACCTACTTTCGTCATCCTCTTTAATTGCTCGAGTCCCTCTGCCAGACAACGACACACACTCCTCTCAAGCTAAGAGGTCCCCTTGCTGTCTTCCGTATAAATACAGCACGGTGTATATTTTAAACCCTGATGTTGATAGATTTAAGTATAATAACTAGGAATTTATTTTCAGGCAAAAAGAAAAAGAAGAAAGACAAGTTTCTGATTGAAGACCGAAGTGAAGAAGTGGCAGCTGGCACAACTATAGATAGTACAGAAAGTAAGTGATCTTCCTGAAGAACTCCTAGAATAGTAATAGTGGAGAGCTATATGCCACTGAGAAAAATGAGTGTGTCTAAGAGTATTTAGGGGTCAGGCCCTGAAGAAAAGACCTTTTCTGTTCCCTACATGTGTGGAACTTAACCAAAATGAATCAGGAACATTATTTTCCCCTAATATTTAAGGTCATTAATTTAATACAGTACAGGTCTCCCTCCCAATTTTATTCCTTGGCAAGACCATCATTGAAGAACCTATAGTGGCATAGGGGATGTATTCTAGATAACTTAACATAATGGAATCAATAATGTACTTATCCCGTACATTTACCACCAGTGAGAGAGAAGTTGGTGCTGTCCATTGCCAAAACTTGCCGCCGGTACCGAGAAACACAAAATATTGGGGTCATTGGAGAGGAAAACCTGTACAGCATCTTGTGTGTGTGTGTGTGTGTTTTTTTTTTTCTCTTCTCTTCTCTGATGGTAATTTTCATGATTCCATCGTCTGAAAATAAGTAAAAGGACACATTATTTCACCCGTGGTGAAGGACTTATGAGACCCTGTACAGCGAGCTATGTTGGTCTGAAGGAAGGTGGGGATGGTGGGGTGTTACTTAGTGTAATGGCATTGAGTATTAGAGCATGGAGTAATAGTGTTAGAACAGCATGACATAGAGTTAAATTATAAGATAGCTTAATGTCAATTGTTTTATGGTTCAGGGGGTCCCCGGGTTACTGACGAGTTCCGTTCTTGAGGACGTTCTTAAGTCGGAACACGTGCCTTATGTGCACTACATCATAGCCTAAGTCCTTTTATACATCTCAAATCACTTAATTTAAGAGAAAAAAGAAATTGAATGACAAAATACAGTAAAGGAAAGTAATAATTCAATTTTAACCTTTACATCTAAACCTTGAGACTGGCTAATCTTCCACCCATATCACTAACAATCTTTCCATTTCAATTCACATTCACTTCTTTGTTTTGTTATCACAGTTGAGTGCATTGGTGTAGATCCTTTTAAATGTTCAAGAATTTTCTGTTTGCCTTTCAAAATTGTTACGATCGTTGACCGACTGAAGCCCAACGCTTTACCAACCACTGAGGGTGTTTGGCCTTTTTCAGAACGTTTTATTACATCAACTTTTCTTCCATCGTAATTATTTTTCATTTCTTGGATGCACTACAATCACTTGTTTGGGAGCCATGATGAGGCCAGAAAAAAGTTAATACACAAAAAACAACAATTTGTACTTGATCACACACGTTAAGGCGGTGAGGGTGAAGCGTACTGATGCTCCCTCGAGGCACGTGGCCGGGCGATGCATTGCTCCCCACGCGCCGCTCTGCCTCCCCTCTACACCACACAAACTACCCTAGTTCTCATACGTTAACACTACGAACCAGTTGTACCTATGTCGGGTCCTTAAAATAATTGACCATAAGGGACGTCGTTCATATCGTCCGGTGTTTGTAACTCGGAGACTCATGTACAGTAATGTTACAGTGGGTGATGGCAAAGTGTGTGTATGTGCCAAATTTATAAAGTACGTGTAATTACATATTTTACAGATTATATTACGGTTGAGATTGAACTGTACAGTAGTACCCCGCTTAACGCGGTCAATAGAACCCACAGGGTACCGTGTTAAGTGAAAACTGCGCTAAGTGAACAACAGAACATATGGGATTAATTCCAATAGAAACTGGCCCGACCCCCAAACTCCACTTTTTGACGACACACAACTATGTTGTAGTAAAAATTTTATCTTAACTTTATGATGGTATGAACAAACAAGTAATATAGAAGAAGTTAGGTTAGGAAAAATAAAGGTTAAGTTAGGAAAAATAAAGGTTAGGTTAGGAAAACTAAAAGTTAGGTGTAACACTTATGTTAGTAGAAGACACACACTGCGCAACCTTACAGTGCGGCTTGCCCAGGCAGAGGGAGGGACGAGGAGGGAGAGGCGAGAGCAGGCAGGCGGGAGGGGCGAATCTAAAAATAGCGTCTCGAGCCAGACACTCTGCGCGTATACATGGATAAAACCTGCGTTAAGTGAAAGTTCGGCTCTGGCGAGGCACCGCGTATGCGTGAAATCGCGCTAAGCGAAACCGCGTTAAGCGAAACCGCGTTAAGCGGGGTATTACTGTATTTAATTACATTGTTGTAGTCGCAGGTATATAGGCCACGTGTATGTTTATCAAGTAACAACCTACCGTGTGTGTTTATGTTGAGTCTTACTTTGCATTTGCCGTTGCTCGTTACAATTCACCCACTCTTGAAATATTATACCCTACTGTAAATAGTTAACTTTTATTTATTTATTTAATTAATTTTTTTATTCTTTTTCAGAATCACCAAAAAAGTTAAAAATGAAAAAGAAAAGGGCATTTGAAGAGGTTGCAATGAAAGTCGAACCCGAGGACACAGAACAGCTTGATAGTTGTATTATCACCAAACCCAAGAAGAAGAAGAAGAAGAAGAAGACTAAGGTGGCTGGTAATGGCAATCATGTGAGTCTGATGGTGGATGGTTACTCTGATTGGGTGATTTACAGAACAATAATATGGGTAGATGGCGGGAAATGTGAGGCTGTGGTATAGTAGAGAATAAGTTTATGGTATGTTTTGGCAGTGAAGAAAATTGACAGAAAGAAGAAAAAAAATTGACATTGTCTTACTGCCAGATATGTACAGTACCATAGTTATTGGCTGAGGTCTTGATACTATTATTTCCAGGATTTGTAGCCAAGTTTGTGATTTTGTAGTTTATGTGTGTTGTGGGTGTCAGTTGGCCAATCAATCTACATGTGTTGTGGGTGTTTATTTAGAAGTCTTTCTTTGTTCCCGGTGAGGTGGAAGTAGATTTGGAGAAAGTTAACCGAAGTAGTGGCTAAGATGCTCTTGCCTAGGGAGTGGGAAGGAGGGGCAGGATGGTGAGGCTACTTCAGATTATTCAAGAGTCATTGATTTCACGACTCTTCTCTACTGTCTTGTTTAGAAAGAAAAAAACAGTTCATGATCAACCCCTCATATATTAGTATCTGGGGAGTTAGCATTATTGGTGAGTAGGTTCTTATAGTCTTAATGTGAGAAATATATTTTAGGGAATAAGAAATGCATAATTATCACTCATCACTTATGGTTGTTGGTGAGTCAGAGAAGTCAGGGAGTCATCACCCCTCTGAACTCATCACTTATGGTTGTTGGTGAGTCAGAAGTCAGGGAGTCATCATCCCTCTGAACTCATCACTTATGGTTGTTGCTGAGTCAGAAGTCAGGGAGTCATCACCCCTCTGAACTCATCACTTATGGTTGTTGCTGAGTCAGAGAAGTCAGGGAGTCATCACCCCTCTGTATCTTAGTGTGAACTGACTGAGAGATAAGGAAAGGTCTGATAATGTAGGATTCCACTTGACACACTACCAACTCACTCTTCATGTTCTCACAACTTCACAGCACCTTCACAGTTTTTCTTATTGTAGTAACACCTCCCCATAAGTCAGACTATATAGGGCTCAAGCTAGTCCGATTTATCTGAGTCTGACTTGTGTGGGAACCCCCCCTCCCCTTCCCGGTAATTTGGACCACCTGGACCACCGTTTTACTGAGAAATTACACCCATAAACAAAATCAAAGTTAACAATACCTATCTACAGTGTACTTACATTGTAGTGGACTAATCTTAAGTTGGAGGACAAAGGGGTCACTTACTTACTTTATTGTAGTATCACTTATACGATTTAGTTTCACTTATATTTATCTGTACAGTTATATACTTAAAACGAGGTGTAGGGTGAGTGATGGCAGACCCACAGACCCTAGTCATACTGTATCTACACTATATACTGTACAATACATTTACCACTCACTTCTGGGTTAGAAATGTGTGGTACTGAAGGAAACATGGCCTAATAGATGCAGGGATGAGGTTTCGGTGCATAAACAGCATGACTAGTTACCCGGGAAAATATAAAATTCGCTGCGCTACTGGGATGCCAATAGACCCCTACTACGCCGTGCGTCCTGGGATGCCATTACACCTTAAAGGGAAGGAAATAGGATGTTTGTCGGTGTAGTGCTATAGTGTGTGCATGTGTCAGTAACAGTTTGATTACAGGACTTAAAGAAATATTCCTTTTATTTATTTATTTTTATTTATTTTTTCAGAAATCCCAAGAAAATGTTTCATCGATGTCTCCTGTAAAAGTTCCTGCAGACAATGTACTAAAGACTTCTATGAAAAGACAGTTAAAGAAAGACTCTGAAAGTCCATCAAGTCCATCTAAAATGGAGAATAAAAAGCAAAGGAGTAATTCTGAAAAAGTTGTGAGTGTGGAAGATGAGGACCTTGAAGTAGGTACGTTGCTACATATACTTTGTTAATCAGCTGATGTAGCAATTAAATGATAATACAGTATTATATGTATAATGTCAAGTGGCCTAGACTTAATCACTTAAATTGTAGGAACTTAATCTTGTTCAAGACAGGTTTCTGGCACATAAATAGTTTTGTACAAATTGTCAACATTAATATTTCCTGTGGATACGTAGCATCATGCTTGAGAATTTTCCAAACTTGTCTGGATTTCTGGCTGTTAGGATCCCTGGAGTTATTCCTGAGGTTTACCCAAAGTTGATGAGAAAATTTAGGGTGTTGGAGGGACAGTGGTGGCCTGAGTAGTCCCTACATCTTGGGCCAAAAATTTTCATGACCAGCAAAAGTTGTCAATTCTCAAATGTGAATCATGTCCATACAGTTGGGAATACACCACCTTAGCAGTGGATGTTATTCAGTGTTGCTGGCATATAGCTCAGTAGGTAGTGTTCACCCCTTGTGTGAATGTTGATGGGTATGATTATTGGTTCCCTCCCTGTACACTGGCACCTAATGTTTATTACAGAGTGTCAAAACTGGACTATGGAGGAGGAACTAGAGCTGCTGGAGAAGATGAAGGCTCTCGCACCCAAGAAGGACACCAAGAATTGTCGGGTCAGATTGAAAAATTTTAATTGGGATGAAGTGGCATTTGGTGACCACTCTGGAGAGAATTGCAAGAAGCGATTCATGGAGATTTACTCTCGTATCAGTTCCATGAAGTAAGTATGAGATGTAATAATAACCTAATAAGCTTTCATTGTATGTATTTGTAACTCTTCACACTTTTATATGAAATGATCATCAGTGTGCTATAGCCAGAGCTTGGATATGTGGGTGGGTGGGTACCTTTTGAACTAATGCTCTATTTTAATCTTACTATTTTTTCAGGACACTTGCGACAATTATAAAAGAGGCAGAAGAAAAAGTGTCGTCCTTCGCCTCGAGAAAGAAAGAGATTAGACAACCCATAAGTCGTTTCTCTAAAGACTTTTTAAGTAAATCCTCTGTGAAGGGGGTAAGTTTTTATATTGCATAATTATTATTTACTGTATATATTTGTCTTTCTTAATTCTAAAGTTGTTATTTTGTGTGTGTGTGTACCAGGTATCTTTCTTAACTAATATTCTCTATGATGAAGAGTAATCACCTTTATTTCCAGGCTCAAGACTTCTCGAGGCCTTATTTTCTGTTTTTAGTTGGTAAAACTCAAGATGGGAGCTAGTGCAGTATGAGCGAACAACAAATTTACAAATATCAGGGCTATTTTCCCATACGAATTGATGTAATTAGGGGGATGCTTCTCAGCTGGCAACTTTCACCATATATTTTATTTTATAAAGTACAGTCCTCATTATCTGAGGTCCAGTTGAGGAAATGTATTCCTCCATCCCCTGTGGTAACTCATATCTAAACAGCAATGTCACAGTACTACTAGTATCACTAATTATGAATGATTCACGTCCATCTCTACTCGACCAATACCCATTCAGTCATAAACAGTGAAATTACTATTGCGACTTTGCCATTTGGAGACGCGGGTTACCACAGGGATTGTAGGGACGCATTTCTCCAACTGTATCAGTAAATGTGAGGAATAAATAAAAATTATACTAATAAATAAGAAAATAAATACAAAAATACCACATTACCAGTTGACAATAGTTTCACTACACGTGGGACACAGTAGCGGCTGAGGTCCCTAAGCCCCCTTCTCTTCCTCCTCCCACGATCCACAAGCTAACTCCCATACACGTAGGAAATGTTTATTCCCCTTTTGATCTCATGATAATTGTTTCTTTAATTATAAATGTATATATATTATTTTATTTTTTATTTTATTTTTTTTCACATTCTGTATAAAGAATTGTGTGGGCATGTAACAGTAAAAAAAAAGCATATCTACTCAAAGTTACAAGTTGAAAAATAACAATAGCACAGTTTGGCTTTAAAATATCAATTGGGAATAAGCGGGATTGGAAATAGCGAGGTATTCCCGTGTTGTCATATTCTCTCCGGTCACTTTCTATACTTGCTCTTATGTATCAACAGCATCTATCAAGGCTGTTTAAACCCTTGTTCCACCTCATATAATAGTGGCATAAGTAATAGAGAAACAGGAAAGCCTTTAGCATTATCAGTTGCTTTACTGTATCCACGAGTCTGGACATCCAAGGAATATAATGTTGGCTGGGGCACTCGGGGAGGCCAGTTCACATACTAACACCATGCAGTTTATAGGCTGGTGTGTAAGATCAATAACCAGTCAGGTTACATACACGGGAATTGGCAGAAAGGCCGAGACGTGGCCCGGCACATTTTATGATGCACGTAAACGTTAAAAATTGTCACTCGATTGTGAAACCAGTGTGACTTTTGACAATAGATTTTTACTGATGAGAGAAATTGACAATGAAATTTTAAGTTGGGTTCATTAGAGAGAGAGTGAGATAATGATGAGGGGATCATATGTATGACTTGGTACAGTACATTGATGAAGGAATAAACATAATTACTGAAGGCTCCTGGTAGAATGTTTTACACCATATAAAGGTTTTCCTCCTCTCTAATTCCTGTTTTTTTTTGTAGTTTTCTGCCTTATATCTTCACCTTGTATCATAGACTGTCTTTATGTAGGGAGATTATCATTCTTGACCTCTCTTTTTCTTTTCTAGCCCAGTGTATTTGCTTTAGCTTTGGAGGCCTGGAAGAATTTACCAGCTGAACAAAAGGATATGTATCAGGCTCAATATCAAGAGGATTTGAAGAAGTTGATCTCTCGTTTCCCCCCCAAAAAAAAAAGGCAAGTCAAAAGTTTAATGCTGAATCTCTTAAGTCATACCTTATACCTTTTACCTCAAGTAGTATTTTGTGATGATTAAGAGCCCTGTACTTGGTAATGATGACTGTAATGGGTAGGGAAAGAGTCGGGCTTCCTGTTGAAACAAAAATCTGATTTAGGCGCCATTGGTTGATTTGTTACCATCAATGGGAGCGCCTCATATCATGCATTGATTTACCTTCAAGTATATTCATTCCTGTTATACAAAATATTTTCCTTATTTACCTAATGGCCACCCACCCCAACATGAGGTGACCAAAATGGAGGAAGGAGGCCAGTAATCTGTTTACGATCCCCCATTACTCTTGTTAGTTTTGTAAAGGGCAATTTTGATATATAGTACTGTACAAACCTATTATTGTCATTACACAATTTTTTAAGTTAGAGAAGAAACCCAAGTCTCTATGTTTATTTCCTGAGGTTATTCTTCTTTTTGTGTATTTCACCAGACTAAGTAAATGATACAGTATTAAAAGTGCTTGGTTGACATGGATGGTAGAGGAAGGCTGACACAGCTGGTTGGTTGGTAGCTCTGTACCATTGACTGTAATATATTTCTTTATGTATTCTTCAGTTCTAAAATACAAATTAAATCTCTTGCAGAACCCCCAAGAAAAGAATTTAAAGACGCCAATCTATTCGCCATGCCCAGGAAACCATATCACGTAAGTACAGTAATTGTCGACGTTGCGTGGAGGACACCGTGTGGGCTATAGAGGGGTGAGGTATAGTGGGTGATTAGTTACATGAGAGAGTGGAGGAGCAGAGTGAAGCTGGTAGTGTTGGGTCGTCACGTGTGTGGAATGTAAGGGCCTAGGGTGAGGGTAGTGAATGGTGTGTGATCATTGTTATGTAAAATCTTATTCCTACTGTCCCTTGCTATCTCTACCAGCTAGTTTATCCACTTTATTGTTGGTGCTAAGTGGAATGGTCATGGAAGGGTTCATACCATAACTTGTGTGTTCGTGCGTATGTTGCCCCGTGAGAGTTACCGTGGGCCTCAATGTGCCCAGGTGGGATGGTCAAAGTATTACACTATAAGTGTGTCAAATGAGGAGTGACTGATCCACATGTAATTTAAGGTATTTGAAATATGTAGTTAAATTAAACAATATTTTTCATATAGTTACGCCAATGATGGGAAGCATCGTGGTCTGGCACTATGCTCAGACCAGCTTACATCTGAACTGTCTCGGATGTGAACTAATTATATATTAACCTTCATTACATAAGAACATAAGAAAGTGGGATACTGCAGGAGGCCGACTGGCCCATACAGGGCAGATCCCTTTCACACCCATCCCAGCACTTCCATGTGCCTATCCAACTTCGTCTTGAAGCTCCCTAGCGTCCCCGATCCTACTATAGCACTCGGTAGCCTATTCCACATATCCACAACTCTATTACCAAACCAGTGCTTGCCTATATCCTTTCTGAATCGGAATTTATCTAATTTAAAGCCATTTGTTCTAGTTATTTCGTTATTACTGAGCTTCAGAACATCTTCCATTTTACCCTTGTTAATCCCACTTACCCACTTGAACACCTCTATCATATCTCCCCTAACTCTACGCCTCTCTAATGAATGCAAGCCTAAGCTTTTCAGTCTTTCTTCATATGGAAGGTTTCTAATATTATGGATCATTTTTGTCATTCTTCTTTGTACTCTCTCCAAAGAATCTATGTCCATTCTATAATAAGGACACCAGAACTGAACCGCATAATCCATGTGTGGCCTCACTAATGCTAGGTAAAGTTTCAAGATAACGTCAGCAGTTCTGTTACTCACAGACCTAGATATGAACCCAAGAATCCTGTTTGCCTTGTTGCGAACGCTAATACATTGTTTTCTAGGTTTCAAGTCGTTGCCAACAAATACACCTAGATCTTTTTCACAATCTGAGTTTTCTATTTCCGTGTTACCTAGTTTATACTTAACGTTTGTATTCGTCTTCCCTATCTGTAGCACCTTGCATTTATCAGCATTAAAATTCATTTGCCAGTCTACTGACCACTCATGTAAGGTATCTAGATCTCTTTGAAGGTGTTCAAAGTCACTGTCTGAATTTATCACTTTCCCCATTTTGGTATCATCTGCAAATTTACTAATCCTACTAGTTATGCCTAAATCAAGATCATCAATGAATATAACAAACAGCAGAGGGCCTAATACAGATCCCTGGGGAACTCCGCTTTTGACCGCACCCCAGTCTGACTTTAATCCATTTATGCTGACTCTTTGTTTCCTACCAGTTAACCATGACCTAATCCCATTTTAATACTGATCCACCTATTCCATGTGCTTCTACCTTCCTTATCAATCTCTCATGAGGACTCTATCGAATGCTTTACTGAAATCTAAATAAATTATATCATATGATTATCATTATCTACCGCTTCAAATACTTTGAGAAAAAGCTAAGCAAATTTGAGACAAGAACGTCCCTGGGTGAACCCCGTGCTGAGAAGAATGAATTAAGTTGAATGTTTCAAGGTGGCTTCTGATTTTTGTAGCAATAATTGACTCTAGCAACTTGCCTATGATTGACGTGAGACTAATGGGAATAATTTGATGCTATTGATTTATCACCCTTTTTGAAAATCGGAACTACATTTGCAAGTTTCAAGCTTCTGGCACTAGGCCCGATTCTAATGACTTATTAAATAAAACTGCTAATGGATTACTCAACTCATCTCTACATTCTTTTAATATTCTAGCATATACCTCGTCTGGACCAGATTTATGAGGCTTCAGTTTGTTAATTACTTTAAGCACGTTATTAGTAATATTGATATTCATCAACATATTTTCTATACTGTCATTATATACCTTATGAACTTCTGGAAACTGTGCTAGGTTTTCATTTGTGAATGAGAAATGACTATTTAACGTACTACACATTTCTAACTCATCATCAGTCATTTCTCCTGTCGTAGTTTTAAGGGACCTATTGTATCTCTAACCTTTGATTTATACAGTTGATAAAGCTTTGGGGTTATTTTTCGATTCGTTTGCTACCTTGATTTCATAATTTCTCTTTGCTTTCCTAATTTCTGTTTTTACTTGTCTTGTTAGGTTCTGATAGTAACCAAGTAAGTGATTTTTGCCTTTCTTAACTTTTCTATATACTCCTTTCTTTTTCCCTAGAAGATCTAAGAGTCTATTATTCATCCATTTTGGTTGGTTCCGTATCGATCTGAATTTTCTTTTAGGGATGTGTTTATTTTGGGCATTATTGATTGTCGCAATAAATTGTTCATAAGTAGCTGCTAAATTAAATTCGGGGTTATCCCGTCCTAAGTTGACAGTTTCCGGAGGTGTGGGGGGGATTACTCTTTTGACCATAGGGTCATCCCTTAGGTCTCTCCTTAAGCTACCGTAATTAGCCTTCCTAGAATCCGGGATCAAGGCCGAATTTTCCTTCTTCCTGCCATCCCATATTATGTTAAAATATATGGCTTTATGATCACTGTTTCCTAGTTCATCTCCAATCCCAACATCTTTTACTAGATTTTCATTATTACTGAGAACTAAATCGAGGATATTATTTCCTCTAGTGGTCGAGTTTATGAATTGATATAAAAAACTATCCTGTACTACTTCTAGAAAATCTTCAGATTCATTATCGCTAAGTTGATTTTTCCAATTTATGCCTGAAAAGTTGAAATCGCCTAGAATACATACATTGTTTCTATCAGATGCCTTCTTTATTTCCTCCCATAGCAATTTACCATCGTTCCTACTCAAATTTGGTGGTCTATATATAACACCAATGACTACTGATTCACTGCCCTCACCAATCTCTACCCAAATACTTTCATTGTCGCTATTTGTTTTAATGTTTGATTTATTGCAGCTTTTTAATGACACCCTGATATACACTGCTACACTGCCACCTCTCCTTCCTAAGGATGACGCCCGATGCTACACACACACATACACAAGCGCTGAAAACATTGTGTGGATTCACTGGGTGGTTTGGAAGTGTTTATTTCCATTCATAATTTCGTGTTCATATATAATGAAGATAATGCAGAGTATAAAATGCCATATACAATACTTATACATAATGTCATCTACTGTTTAGCATTATATACAGCAAGATGATTAAAAATATGATACACTCAGAGCGAAGCTTCGTATGGTTCATAAGGACTGTGTGTGTTTGTGCGTGTGTTGCCTCGTGATAGTTAAGAGTGGGCCCCCGTCCAGAAAGAACGCTGTACTAACCTCCAGCACCGACCCAGGTGGGCTAGAGATTATGGTTTCCGACTGTACATGGGAATTCTTCAACACTCTCCACTTCATGATTGGATGTAATAAACCGCAAGGAAGCACCAGTGCAAATATTTTGTTATCATATGATCATATATTTTAAAAATACATATCAAAAGTACGACCAAAAACACTTACTTATATTTCACATACAGCCTATTTATTCAAAAATATTTATATTGCCATGGAACCTCACCCTTTTCTGTAATGAAATACTGTTTAAACTGATCACGAATATCTTTAGCCATCCTAGTAGAATTTTTGGTAGTAACTGAACGTTGCAAGGAATGCAAAGTGCTGGCAGGCAAACCATCTTGTCTCCAACTTCCTGCAGTACAAATTCCATCATCTTCCTAACGAACGTTCCAGGGGAGCATAAACACGGGCTGAATTATTTCGAGAGTAAAAAATTGTGTAGAGCACATATGCATCATACAATTTGCTTCACTCTTTCTGGGGCTACCTCCATCGGCCGTCTTATGATGCGGAATCGGGCAGATATCAATCCAAATGCGTTTTCCACTACTTGGCGTGCTCTGGATAATCTGTAGTTGTAAATGTGATTTGGACCAGGTTGATTTGTGAAAGGACGTGGTTTCATGAGATATGATTTCAATGCAAACGCATCGTCAGCAACAACAATGAATGGTACAGGGTCATCGTTATTCGTACAATCTAGCCGTCGTCCAATTGGTATATTCAAAAGATTGTCCTCTAAAGCTGTTGATAATGAGCAATTTGTAAATACTCCTCCGACTTCCGTCAGATATTCGCCCATTGCAACCGACATCAATGTACAGTGGGGTATGCTATAACGAATCTAATTGGTTCTAGAACCTTGTTCGTTATAGCATTAATTTGTTATAGGATTAATCCGTTCCAGGCCCCCAAATACAACCACTTAACACTGAAAAATATAATATAAAATTGTAAAAATTGTAAAAAAGTGCATCTAAACCCCTGAAATAAAGAATATCATTAATATTTGTAATAAAAAACAATAAATTAGAAAAAAAAAAAATAAATAAATTATGTTCGTTGTAGGAGTTTCGTTCGTTATAGCATTCTCAATTTTACAGGTAAAACCGTTCGTTATAGGAATATTCGTAGTAGGATCCGTTCGTTATAGCATACCCCACTGTATATGAATTTATAATTTGCATCAACCAATGCCAATAGCACTATGCTGTTGGTACCCTTGTAATTGAAGTATAAGCTTCCGCTGTTTCATGACGACATGTTTGCCATCGAGTGCTCCTATGCAATTAGGAAGCTGCCATTTCAATTCAAAATCATGGGCCACTTTGTTCCATTCTTCATTCGAACTCGGAATCTGCAAAAACAAAAACATTACGTGTTCACAAATATTATCCTGGATGTGAATCAGAAAAAAATATTGTTACACTATACTCCCTCGTATCTGGTATTCAAAGATAATTATTCAAAGAATCAATTTCTACTTTGAATCTTTTAATAATTTTCTCTTTTATTGGGGTATTAATATTGTACTATTTGTAACATTGTACATCAACTGAGGCAGTAAAATCTTTATAGATTCTCTGTTTTCATAGGTGTTTATACTCATTTGAAAGGGGATTTTACAAGGATTCTGGTTTGGCAACTTTCATTCAGAAAAAAGTACTGCCATAAGCGAGGGAGTGTGATGTATGTACACCTCTCATTTCACCTGAATTTTCAGATATCCGACATGGCCTAAGTCCCATAGGTGCCGGATACAAGGGAGTCACCTGTACTTGTTTTTAGTTTAGGAATTATGGTTTTTAAAAGCATTAGATTTCAAATTAATCCTAAGGAACTTAATTAATTAATTAACCATTAATTGTCATATAGATTTGTACAATATTTTATTATTCTGTTTTTCAGGATCTGTCTTTCTCACAAAACGTAGTTAACGAAGAGTTCACACAACCTACGGAGCAATGTCAGGATTTTGTCACACCATCTACTTCTGGTATAGAATACACAAAAAGAAATGTAGTGGTAAAAAGAAAAAAGTTGAACATTGGAAGAACAGACTGCATTGAAAAAAGCAATCGATGTATTGAATAAACCACAAGATGACTACTCAGTGTTTGGAGACAATGTTGCTTCGGAATTATGCCAATTACGTTCCGATGAAAATAGGAAAATACTGAAACGAACCATTATGAAAGCTATCATTGAAATGACGCTTATGTAGGCCATGGAACAACTACCTAAAGTTATGACAGTAATATCGGGTTGCAATGCTATTTTACTGATTTATAATTATTTCTTCCCTTAAGATAATCTTCTTTCAGAACTTCGTATACTGCCTTACAAACCTCGGGGATTATTTTCGAAATAGTTGTTACTGGTATGCGGAACGTGTGTACATCAGTGAGTGGTAACTGTCCCCTGAAAGAAATATTTCAGGTCTGATAAATTTATGTTTGGCATTATTTACTAAAATATTTTGTTCCTTTCATGTACGTGTATGCGTTGTAATAAATTTACAAATATATTCAAGGGTTTTATTCATTCATAGTACTTACCAGATGCTAGAAATTGAAGTGTAAGCATTAGCCTTTCTGAAGGGGTGATTGCTTTTCTGAGATGAGTATCTTGTCTTAATTTTAGTGGTCACTTTTTCCAGCAAATAATCATAATCTTCAGGACACATACGTAGAAAGTTCTTATAGGATACTGTATCCTCATCAAGCAATTCTCATAACAGTTTTGCATGTGCTCCCTCTTCATTTCTTCTGGCTATCCATTTTCTGACCCACACACTTTTCTTTTTCTTCAAATCCTTCATTATAACTAATGTCGCAGCTGCAGCAACTAAGCGCCTTGATTGTGACTTCTCACCACACACAAGACTCAAGTCTGACTGAGACTTCCTCGTCAAACACACTCCAGTGTACACAAACGGAAGAGCAATTTCGCTAGATTTAATCTAGCATCACTCTATCGAAGCTCAAGAGAGAGCAAATTTTGGTGCTGTGTACACACACTTTTGATTAGTCTTGCTAGAGAAAGCCAAGTCTAGCTAGATTTTAATCTACAGTGTACACGTACCTTAAAAACGACAGGTGTACCTGCAAGTGTACCTGCTGCTTCACTTCCTCACTCCCATGAGCCACTTGTTTTGCCTGTTCCAACCCCAGGGCCATCAACTGTGTCTTCTGCACAATCTACTTCTGTTTCTCGACCTCTAATTTCACCTTCTGTTCCTGCCTCACCAGTCATTGGTCCTGCTGTGGGGTTTCATGATGTGGTCTCACACTCAGGATGGGTTGGAGAAAGGAAACTCACAATGCATTTTCTGTAAATAAATATATTGAATGTACAGTGCAGTTTGGTGCTGGGAAGTTGCTGCGTGGTTAGGAGCTTGCTAAGAGGAGGTGTAGGATGAGGAACTCATTGAGAGGTCTTGTTGGTGCGGGAGCGTGGAAGAGAGAAAGCTGGTCAGCGAGGAGCTTGCTCAGAGGAGGTGTTGCGTGTTGCAGCGCTGTAGCTAGAATGGACTTCAACAGTGAGACTAACAGCTTATATACTCGGCCACCGGAAGTAAGACCGGATGCAAGTGTTGCAGGTGGCAACAACCTTCTCCCCCCTCCGTGAGAAACTCGTCGGTTTGCTGAATCCCGCCGCTATGGTATTCGGCTAGGCTTGTCAGTTTGTAGGGGAGAGTTTCCACTACACTGCCTCACCAGCCATTGGTCCTGCCTCACTATTCAGTAATCCTGACTCACCCCCTCCTGCTCCTGCTCCTCACCAACACCTTTCTGCAGTGTCCAGGGCATCTGGTTCTGGGGCAAGGATCACACCAAGGCGCAGTAGGAGGGTGACAAGTGTCCATAAAATGTGTGAGAAAAGACAAGAAGAGTTCCACAAATATAAATTATACACAATGAAAAGGGAACATGAGGCAATAATGTCAGCATATAACTCAAACAAAAAGAAAGTGAAACTGCAATTAGAGTATGGATGAAAAAAGAGCAACTGTTTGAAAAGATATTTGAAAACATTAATAATGTTTTTGAATTGTTTGATACTTGTTTAAAGAAAGTATCGGCTGCATTTGATGCCATGGCTAAAGCTTATGAATGATGGTTGAGTAATAACATACAGTCATATGCAATGTTTATGATTTTACTCTATGTTGTGTTATTTCAGAAAGTGGCATCTAGAATATAAATTTATTTTCTTATGTTTTACACATTCAAATATTTTGATTTAAAGGAAATAAATCTACATTTCTTTATTTTGCCAAATATTTTCTTTGGTTACAAAAGCTGTCAGAAGTATGGCAGCTAAGTTTTTTTTATTTACCGTTATCTATAATATAAGCTGTGATTTTCAGGAAATGCAGAAACCTGTATAGAAAAATGTAATTTAATTTTCTTAATTTTTACACATTTAGAGAAAATAAATAAATATTTCTTCTCTTTTGTTTTCTTCATATTACCTCACAGGTGAATTACCTTACATATTGAGTTAAGCTTACTTATTAAAGACCTTAATGAAGTAAAATTTAGACAATTTAAGGCAACAAAATTTAAGAATGATTCACTACTCATTAAAACAGAAATAATATAGAACTAGTAAAGTCTGAGAAGCAACTGATGTAATAAATATTAACGACATGACTCGTTCACCACTTAAAATAATGTATGGAAAATAGTAGAGTTACTTAGAGGCTAACTAAAGCCTTATTACTTCTTAATGATTATCAAAGTTCTGAAATAAACTTTACTGGACTTGAGTAACTAAACAAAATGCTCCACTATATACTCCCTCCTTGCTTGACCTTCATGATTTACATATCTGACCATTTCTTCAGGGTCGTCAGGGTCTTCTAAATGTACTGTATGTGTTCTATGTCCAGTGTAAGTCCATCTATGAAAGCAATACTATGGAGAGCTGCACATGCAATTATTATATTTTTGGTAGTAGACAGCTTTGCTCTTACATGCTGCAATACAGCAAATCTCCTCTTCCACACTCCAAATGTCCTTTCAATTGTAGTTCTTGTTTTAATATGATATTGTTATATTTCCTCTGCTTTTCATTAGCTGGATCTGAGTGAGTAAGTAGGGACAACGCATATCCACTATCACCGAGGAGAAAGTCTCGATATTCCCCGGCCTGCAGACTTTCACAAAGTCTTGACGTTGTGAATATGTGGGAGTCATGAGCACTGCCCGGCCAGTTACCACAAGGTTTGTAAATGTCATGTGTGCATCACATACGCCCATGACATTAATGGAGAAGAAATTCTTTCTACACCTGTAGAGTTCAGGATTTGGCTCTCTAGGGCTCTTGATTGGAATGCGAGTCCAATCTATACAGCCTATCACACCTGGCATTCAAGCAATAGAGACAAATTCCTACATGAACTCTTCTCGTTCAGGAAAGTGGAATATAATGTAATCTGGTGCAAGAGTGGCAATAGCAGCAGAAACATTCAGGACACATTTGCCAACACTTGGTTGAGACCATCTTAAGGCAGCCGTAGGTAGGGGGTGGGCACCTGATGATGGTTCCAACAGTATAGGGTTATGTGCACTTTTACCTTCCGATACCTCGTTCATTGGGATGACTAGTAATACACATGCACGAACACTATCGATCTGCATCGGGCTTCAGAGGAACTAGGAATATGGCCATAAGTTTCTCGGGTGCCTACCCACACCCGAGGACTTATCCCGAACTTTCCAATAACAATGTCGGGCTACTAAGTGGTAACCCGACAAAATTTGGTTTAAAAAAATTAATTACAGCTTGGAGGGCGCTTTTGGGATACTAGTAAGAAACCCGAGTGTTTAAAAAAATGGCCGTCAATGTAGAAAGGACCTGGGCGTGTATGTTGACAATGAACTGATGTTCTTGGGGCCATTGTGAGAAGAAGTGAATCAAGCAACTAAATTATTAGGTCTTAAAAGAAGGTTGTTCAGATATTTAGAGTCCGTCCTTCGTAACGATCTTCAAGAGTGAAGTGCTTCCTCATCTGGAGTACTGTCACCCCGTCTGGTCCCGAGATATGCTAGAGGCTGTCTTACTTTTATTCTCTTCACCACTGATCGGCTCGTTAGCCGTTTGGGCGGTCAGTCACATCTCTGTTATGTACTCGTGGCAAGTACTGGGCATGCCCTGGCTCCTGAATGTATCTGAACCTGCTCCAGTGTTGGTCAAGTCTGGCCTTGAAAGAGCTCACACTCGATGCCGTCACAACACTGGCAGAGTGTTCTAAGAGTTCACAATTTTCACTCCGAAAAAGTTTGCCCTCACAGTTTTCTGGATTTCTGGCTTCTTCAACTTTGAGCTATGACCCCTTATGTGGCGAGCGCTCAAGGTTGAATAAGCCGCAAGTCCAGAAAACTGGTGCCTGCACTTCGGCACCTCAGTTACTGTGAGGGATTAGTGCGCCTGCAACTGCCTAGCTTATACTATAACAGACGACCTTTGCAAACAAACTTTCCACCGGGCATGTTATCCACTTGCAGGAAATGATAGAGGACCTTTTTTACTTATTCAAGGTTCTTTTTCCTGATGTATGATTGAAACCAAAACACCACTTTCTCTTGCATCACCCAAGGCAAATCATGTTGTTAGGACCACTAAGACATTGCTGGTGCATGCGGTTTGAAGCAAAGCACTATTACTTTATTCGAATGATGAGATCTGTAAACAACTGCATTAATCCATGTGCCACACTGGCAACACATCAGTACCATGTGGCTTACAGGCTTCTGTCTGGCAGTGCATTTTTGAAAGAAGATATAACTTTTTCATCAATAGTTAGGGCTGACTTAGATTTTCTGTCAAATGAAGTTGGAGATGCCCTGAAATGGTGTGGAATCAAAGCTGATGAATATGTTCACCAGTGTCACTTTGCCAAAATAGATGGTATAGCTTATTATCAGAAGATGTATGTTGTGAAAATGCACAACGATGCACCAGTATTTGGCAGAATTGATGGTATCTTTCTTCAAACTATGCAGCCTTACTTTTTGCTGAAGCAGTTTCTTTCAGAATATGTCAACCATAAATCGGCATACCTGCTGAACCCTGAAAATGGTTCTATGGTATTAAAACCTTCATATCCTAATGACTATTATCCTCTGTTTGATGTAAAAACGTTTGCAGCATAGACAGCATAAGTTGCAATGACCTATACATTGGACCTTCGAGCAATACTGATATTCCGGGCCGGCTGCTTATTGGGTAGGGAGCTAATGAATTCCAGACTTCCCAGACTAAAATTTTTCCTTCTGTAAATCTTTTTTTTTCACAGTAAACAATTACGTACATATGAATTTTTCACGTAGCCTGGTATTAGGATAATTTTTTTTCTAGAGTGGGAGGAACCCATGACTGCCTCTCCATGACCGCCATATTGTAGTCGTTCGACCAGTGAGAGCGATATTAAATGGCTTCAGATTACTTTACATTCATCATAGCACGAGAAAATTAATTGAATACAATGTGTTTTATATTACATATTTCTCATTTTAA